TCTAACTGGTCGCATTTGTGCACACATTATTCCAAAATTCAACTGTGCCAGTCGACAAGGGAGAAAAGATTCGCTGTGATTTTATTATTATATATTCGCATTCCTCTCCACTCGAATACGAATATTATTATTGTATGCTTGTTCTCATTTGATTGGATCACTCGATCAGTGTACATTGTTCGTTTCTCATCTTTCCTAATTGTAGAGAAGGAGAAAATGGATGGCGGTGAGCTTTAATATTGATCTTGTTGCAGTTTGGCCTTGTTCATTTTTAGTCCACATGATTCACTTGACGGATAGTGTGGAACAATAAGGATCATGCTGCTATGTTCTCGTCCCAATTAGATTCGTCTGTTTGGCGCAACAACAAACAGTTCACATTTGACTATTTCACTGTGTGCAGTAGACGAACGCTTTTCCCAATCGGCTCCTTTATACATACTGATTTGCTAACGCAGATAAACACGATCCGGTTGGACATTCTAATTGAAAATTCCGGACGATTTGTGGCCACTGACAATCAGTATCTCATATATTCCCATTAGTTTGATCTAAGCACTCGAATGATCTGAATATAGAAAGACAAATCAAATATTTCTCCTCTTGCGAACTATTCCAACTGAGCTGTAGAACTGAGTTTTCTGAGCAATAGCACATTCAATCATTCATTTATTTGTTGCCTATCAAACGATAATACAACATATAGAAAATGAACATTCAACTGATCAATGAACAGTACATGCACACTATGTACACGCGTTTGATCTCACTCACCTGTTCGGAATAAGGGAAAAGCATATCGATCAACTGCTAACTGGCATCCTAACACGAATTGAACGACTGTCAGTTTGATCGGCTTCTTCCACGTGAACGATACATGAATGAATAAGAAGTGATAATGATCCATGTGATTTACTACTCCCAATTCACAATGGTCAAATATGGACTGCTAATTGCTAACAACAATCCACATTAGACCAATTTGTTCTCATTTCATTTGATCACATTTCGAAACGAAACACACAGAATGATGAAGCACAAAAGGCACACCTATCTCGCAATGGAACAGATACAGAAAATATAACGAAGCAAACTCAATTGTCCCATTTATCTAACTGGTCGCATTTGTGCACACATTATTCCAAAATTCAACTGTGCCAGTCGACAAGGGAGAAAAGATTCGCTGTGATTTTATTATTATATATTCGCATTCCTCTCCACTCGAATACGAATATTATTATTGTATGCTTGTTCTCATTTGATTGGATCACTCGATCAGTGTACATTGTTCGTTTCTCATCTTTCCTAATTGTAGAGAAGGAGAAAATGGATGGCGGTGAGCTTTAATATTGATCTTGTTGCAGTTTGGCCTTGTTCATTTTTAGTCCACATGATTCACTTGACGGATAGTGTGGAACAATAAGGATCATGCTGCTATGTTCTCGTCCCAATTAGATTCGTCTGTTTGGCGCAGCAACAAACAGTTCACATTTGACTATTTCACTGTGTGCAGTAGACGAACGCTTATCCCAATCGGCTCCTTTATACATACTGATTTGCTAACGCAGATAAACACGATCCGGTTGGACATTCTAATTGAAAATTCCGGACGATTTGTGGCCACTGACAATCAGTATCTCATATATTCCCATTAGTTTGATCTAAGCACTCGAATGATCTGAATATAGAAAGACAAATCAAATATTTCTCCTCTTGCGAACTATTCCAACTGAGCTGTAGAACTGAGTTTTCTGAGCAATAGCACATTCAATCATTCATTTATTTGTTGCCTATCAAACGATAATACAACTTATAGAAAGTGAACATTCAACTGACCAATGAACAGTACATGCACACTATGTACACGCGTTTGATCTCACTCACCTGTTCGGAATAAGGGAAAAGCATATCGATCAACTGCTAACGGACATCCTAACACGAATTGAACGACTGTCAGTTTGATCGGCCTCTTCCACGTGAACGATACATGAATGAATAAGAAGTGATAATGATCCATGTGATTTACTACTCCCAATTCACAATGGTCAAATATGGACTGCTAATTGCTAACAACAATCCACATTAGACCAATTTGTTCTCATTTCATTTGATCACATTTCGAAACGAAACACACAGAATGATGAAGCACAAAAGGCACACCTATCTCGCAATGGAACAGATACAGAAAATATAACGAAGCAAACTCAATTTTCCCATTTATCTAACTGGTCGCATTTGTGCACACATTATTCCAAAATTCAACTGTGCCAGTCGACGAGGGAGAAAAGATTCGCTGTGATTTTATTATTACATATTCGCACTCCTCTCCACTCGAATACGAATATTATTATTGTATGCTTGTTCTCATTTGATTGGATCACTCGATCAGTGTACATTGTTCGTTTCTCATCTTTCCTAATTGTAGAGAAGGAGAAAATGGATGGCGGTGAGCTTTAATATTGATCTTGTTGCAGTTTGGCCTTGTTCATTTTTAGTCCACATGATTCACTTGACGGATAGTGTGGAACAATAAGGATCATGCTGCTATGTTCTCGTCCCAATTAGATTCGTCTGTTTGGCGCAACAACAAACAGTTCACATTTGACTATTTCACTGTGTGCAGTAGACGAACGCTTTTCCCAATCTGTTACTTTATACATTCTGATTTGCTAACGCAGATAAACACGATCCGGTTGGACATTCTAATTGAAAATTCCGGACGATTTGTGGCCACTGACATTCTCTTTCTCATATATTCCCATTAGTTTGATCTAAGCACTCGAATGATCTGAATATAGAAAGACAAATCAAATATTTCTCCTCTTGCGAACTATTCCAACTGAGCTGTAGAACTTAGTTTTCTGAGCAATAGCACTTTCAATCATTCATTTATTTGTTGCCTATCAAACGATAATACAACATATAGAAAATGAACATTCAACTGATCAATGAACAGTACATGCACACTATGTACACGCGTTTGATCTCACTCACCTGTTCGGAATAAGGGAAGTGCATATCGATCAACTGCTAACGGACATCCTAACACGAATTGAACGACTGTCAGTTTGATCGGCCTCTTCCACGTGAACGATACATGAATGAATAAGAAGTGATAATGATCCATGTGATTTACTACTCCCAATTCACAATGGTCAAATATGGACTGCTAATTGCTAACAACAATCCACATTAGACCAATTTGTTCTCATTTCATTTGATCACATTTCGAAACGAAACACACAGAATGATGAAGCACAAAAGTCACACCTATCTCGCAATGGAACAGATACAGAAAATATAACGAAGCAAACTCAATTGTCCCATTTATCTAACTGGTCGCATTTGTGCACACATTATTCCAAAATTCAACTGTGCCAGTCGACAAGGGAGAAAAGATTCGCTGTGATTTTATTATTATATATTCGCACTCCTCTGCACTCGAATACGAATATTATTATTGTATGCTTGTTCTCATTTGATTGGATCACTCGATCAGTGTACATTGTTCGTTTCTCATCTTTCCTAATTGTAGAGAAGCAGAAAATGGATGGCGGTGAGCTTTAATATTGATCTTGTTGCAGTTTGGCCTTGTTCATTTTTAGTCCACATGATTCACTTGACGGATAGTGTGGAACAATAAGGATCATGCTGCTATGTTCTCGTCCCAATTAGATTCGTCTGTTTGGCGCAACAACAAACAGTTCACATTTGACTATTTCACTGTGTGCAGTAGACGAACGCTTTTCCCAATCGGCTCCTTTATACATACTGATTTGCTAACGCAGATAAACACGATCCGGTTGGACATTCTAATTGAAAATTCCGGACGATTTGTGGCCACTGACAATCAGTATCTCATATATTCCCATTAGTTAGATCTAAGCACTCGAATGATCTGAATATAGAAAGACAAATCAAATGTTTCTCCTCTTGCGAACTATTCCAACTGAGCTGTAGAACTGAGTTTTCTGAGCAATAGCACATTCAATCATTCATTTATTTGTTTCCTATCAAACGATAATACAACATATAGAAAGTGAACATTCAACTGACCAATGAACAGTACATTTTTAGTCCACGTGATTCACTTGACGGATATTGTGAAACAATAAGGTTCATGCTGCTATGTTCTCGTTCCAATCTGGTTCGTCTTTTTGGCGCAACAATAAACATTTCTCATTTGATATCATATATTTAACGTGAACATTCTCCCGACCTTATAACATTTTATGCAGTCTCTTTTTTCACCCTTTTCTATCTCTTGCTACTTGCTTATTTATTTTGCTTCTCTTCTTTTTTCTCTTCAATTAGTATGCCAATTTTCGTTTCCGCTTTTTCTTTTCATCTGCGGTATTTATTTCTTGCCAATTTTATTTTCCGCAAACCACGTTTTCGCACTTTTTCCTCGGTTTTTCCTCGAATTGCTGCCTGCTTTCTGTCACACCACTCAGTACATTTATCATTCGTTCTTTTTCCGTTCACCGCTGTCTAATCGGATTGTTTCTGTTGACGTACTACCCTCATTTTTGCAATCCGATCTTTCCCTTGGGCTCCGCTTTGCCTCTCGTACGGACTTGGCACACGCACTAATTCACTCGTCAGCGTTTGACTTGTTCTCTTGAATAGGCGTTTTTGGAGTGCTTTGTTTTACGCACTAGAGCCGTATAAGCAAGTCCTCATTTCTCTTACTGAATTCAGGACATAACTCTCAATTATAGAAATGGATACTAGAGTAATACCCCTCAATTCTCCTAACTAAAGGTCGACAGTATGAAACAACCTAATTTATGATGTATACTTAGCGACTTATTCACCTAGAATTATATACCCAAAATTGATGTCACCTACTGGAAACCATGGTCTGCTGTTTCAATTGTTCAAGTAGACACACCTAGTATTCCTGTGAGGAATGTTTTCTCTTTATTCCAAATACAACAACGCAATGGAAAATCACGCTTTCCTGCCATCCTTTCTTCAATAACCTTCTGGACGAGCAGAAACCAGTACTGCAGGTAAGCTAGACTCAACAGCTGGGCCTGATATTAGTTTGTGCTGAGAATGAATGATATTCCGGGGGATCACATTTATGCAGTAGTCAGAATTTAAGTAACGTTTCCGCTAATATAATTACTTTGAATGCCGAATAATGCCTTCAAGTGCTCATTCCAACTTGAAGAGCGACTTTTTGCCGAAACGCCATTATTGCATGGAATTGTATCAATTAGATATTCTGCTTTCTTTTTATCCCTTCTCCAGGAGGTACCTCGAAACACAGCAGACACATGGCTCTCTTTGCAATTCTGCTAAAGTTTCTTGGATTGATCTAATAGTGGACACATTTCCTAGCCGCAGATATTGTGCGAAGATGTACCAATGTTTTCTATTTATTATTTCATAACGAATAAATAACGTGGTTATCTTTTGCACTACCTGAATTTTCCTAATTGCCTTCACAGTCTTCATATATCCAAGGATGAAACGATACTCCATTGCTTGTAGAAAAGTTCTTCTTACTCAGCATAGAACTGTTTGGGCTAAACCACAAAAATCCACCTCTAAAATTCAAAGCCACTTCCAAAACAATGTTTTATTGCCACCCATTATGTTCGACTAATTTATGAAAATGGATGAATAAGGGAACTTAAAGAGATGGGTCGCTGGTCTCAACTTTTGCAAGAAACGCAGTGAAACATGAAAAACATCGCCAACACTGCCATGAAACAGCATATTATATTTAAATGGCAACATGATTCCTCTTGTTAAAGCTCATCAATGGTGCATATCCTCTGCCACACCCAGGGTTTGAACCCGGACACTTTCATCTCGAACCTCGCGGGATGGAACTGAATTCATTGTGTGGAGGTTCTACACCTTTTCTCATTCAAGTTTATAATTTCATGATGTAAAGTTTGTCTTACCGTGATTTCAAGCTCTAGATGGACCTCGATTGGTTTGGACAGCTTGATGTATCTGAATCTTCCACACAAAAATCCAAGCATCTCTGCTGACTCCATATTTTATATAAGATCCAGTTGAATAAGTTGCAGCACTGCACAAAACCCTTTTAGCGTAACAGTCAAATGATTTCAACCCCGAATAACTTAATTATGCACGGTTTTGAATGATAATTGGTAGAAGTGAGTTGAGATTCAATTTTTATTTGGCCTACACCCCTTGGAAAGTAAATTTACTATCAGCAAATTTACAAAGTTCCGAAAGGGCTAGACGCGGATTTGCTAATACGAGCGGATAAAAGAACTGGTAGGGAAACGTGGCCATTAAACCTCAGATGTTTAGATGATGCGGTTTGTTGATATATCTACCTAAGTTGTCTAATGCGCATTGTTTTAGGGTTGGTTCTACGTTATGAAATTCAAAAATCGCTATCATACTCATTGATTCCTTATCGTCAGGGATAAAATATATGCTAAGAATTTGTTTTAAAACAAAATGCATGCGATGAAACCACTTTGGTAGAGTGCAGAGACTGTATAGAGGAGCACTTTTTATGATCTTTTCATTCATTGTTTGAGGTTCATCAGTAAATTGTGCGTCTTCTAAGCTGATGAGAATTTTTGCAAACTCAGGAAAGGGTTTGTTTTTCTATCCAGAATTTCACGTTCGTCCCCAAAAAGATAGGTTTTTGATTTCCATAAATAAACGTTAATGAAAGTGGTTATGCAATTTTGTGAACAGTTTATATTCATTCTTTTGTAGGGTGTGGTCTCACTCAATCGACTTACAGTAACCCTTACTCCTAGACGCATATTTAATCTGATTTATAACATTTCTGCTTTTAAGTTCTTGCATATATGTGCCTTCTTGTAATTAAAGTATATTTGAGCCTAACAGCAATACACTGCTCTTTATGTGGTCTTTCCTTTCCTTTAGCAGTATTCATTGGTTTACGGCACTGTCCGATTCTCAGAGAGGTTTGTAGTGTTCGTCTAGAAGAGTCATGTGTTCATACACGCACGCCTGATCCAAACCCCGTGCAGCCACGGACTCTCGCCTGCAGTCGCATACACACGTACACAGTCGACCTTTGCCTTGTTTCTTCCCCGACGGCACTGACAGCTCATATCGTGTCAAATGTTGTGTGACCTTGAACGACCTAATCCGATTGTACAGTTATCTTACACCTTAGAATACACCCATCACTGACTCACGCACCTGCATACGTGTTTGTGTTTTCACTTACTTGCTTGTATTGGCGTTTACAGTACGTTGCTAAAGTATACACGTTCGTTTGTACAAACGTGCCACCCGCCTACGTACTGAGTTCGGGATACAACAAGGTTGGCCTTCCCGACTTGTTTCACATTCATCCCATAGCTCGTTCTTCCAAAGATATGTCCTCGGTACTTGTTATCTCGACCGTAAGGAAATACACGTCCCTTCAGTTCCCGGTTTCATTGTGATGCGATGTTTTAGCTCTTTCAAGAAGAACATTTCGTGGTCGCTCGAATGAATGACGTGGAAGCCTCAAATTTCTTTCTTTGTATAATTTGGAAGGAACAATGCGTTGTCTCAAAAGTTAGTAAATAGATCAGTAATCTTGAAACACAGGAGGGTAGTAGGATGTATATATGTATTGTTGCAGATTATAATCCTTCGTAATTTCCAAGTATTTTGCATTCACAGGATTAACATCCTGATCGTATTTTATGCGTATTGCCGCTCCAGCTGTAGGTCAATCAAAAGAATTCCAAGGTACGTAGTTACTAAAGAATTATCGCTTATTAACAGGATATCTCAAGAAAGCTTGACGGTATAAGTTACGTTACATGTAGCGCTCAAAAAAATCAAAACATAAACAGTGTACTGACAGCTTTGCAAAAGACAAATTATTTGTGAAAAATTAACGACATTGAGTCAAAAACAAACTGAACAGAATATGTTAGCAATGACTGGTTGAATTTTGCCCTGTTGAAATCAACACGCGTTTATTTGGAGCATAAGAAAAAAAAACGAGTTAAATGTCCAACCCAGAATGTATTGAATTCTGGACTTCAAAACCAAGCACCCAGCAAAGACGAGGAGAAACACATGAAAAAGGAATTCAGTCTTTGCTGATTAGATGGACTGCCCAAAAAGAGTTCAAGACAAACAAGCAAGTAGATTGCATATGCTTTTCGGACGAAATCTCGCGCAGCTACATTATCTGCTGAATGAGGCAGGTGTCGTTATTTATCATCGAGTACAACGTATCACATGATGTTTACAAGAATAAATATCTACCTCACACGACATTCTCTTCCCTCTTGCTGGTTCGAGTGAAATGTTTAATGCTTTTGTTCCCGTCGAGACCGACATTCACCAATACATGCTTGCTCCAAAATCCCACTGGATAATCCTCATAGAGATTAAGGAACTGCGCTTCTCGTTTGTGTTCTTCACATTCAAATTTCGCTGCAACCTTGGCGTGATATCCAAATGTTGCTTCATTCGGAGGACGAGCACTGGATTGCATTGAACCCATTATCCATGGAACCTGATCGCTGTCATACTGCATACTACGTTCCATCATAGTGATCACAGTTTCCGTCAAACAGCCACGTAAATCTTTTTCTTCTTTTGATGTATCATACCCCATTCTTAGCTGCTCAACATTTATCGACACTCGGTTGAGTTAGAACAAACCTAATGGTCAGCTTTCTTATACCATCCTGACTCACGTTTTCTTTCATTGAACAGTAGAATGAACAACAGGTGTAACAAACATTGTACTACAAACAAATCACAACTTTGATTCGCCAACTGATTCATCTAACTGGAGTATACACCCACACACCTGAGTCAAATGGTACATTAACGTGAACAGTATCTCTACCGTGTTCTGATCAGGTGAAACCACAATCCATCACAGTTGGTGTGGTTCCTTGAGACGAGAGTTTCATTAGTGGGCAACTGTGAATATCTAGTGCATGCCTTGGGCTTAAGTCGTATACAAGAATGTACTAAAGGGGATATTTCTTTTCCCCATAATTTGCTGCACCAGTCATTTGGTAAACTGGCGCTTTAGAACAGATAACATGAAAGTAAATGAACCATTGATTTTTGACTTGAATTATCCTTTTCTGCACGGTTTCAGCTCGAAACATGTTCAGACCTCAACTGTGTGGATTGAATATAAGGTAGAATGCTTTAAGAAGACACATGTTAATTCATGTGTGGAGATTTTCACACAGAAAATTTAACATTTTAAATATCATTAGTTTGCCATGGGAAGCCACCCGATAGTTAACTTTGAGTACATTATCCCTTTCCACTTGTAGTGGAAACCGTGTGAAAAGATCCCCTAGTAGTTGCAGCATGTTTTATTGTAATTAGCAAAGACCGATGTGATAGTGGGTTCCATACTGGTCCACTCGAAGCTCAAGCCGAATCACGCTGTTCTCAACAGCACAAACGCAGAAATTCATCACTGTATATCTACCATAACGACCATCCGTTCTTTCAGGAAAGCCCAGACATCTTCACTGTACAGCGTGAACAACATACATGCTCCCATCAAAATATTGGGAGTGGCATTCGTTGAAGAATCCACTATGTTATCAATGAAAACTCTCATTGGAGGACAAAGCTTTTTTGATGTAGGTAATAGCAAACAATACCAACCAAATTGGTGATCATTGTCACTTGGAATTCCTTTTACATATGAAACTCAACACGCGACCACTTGAGCTTAGTGCTTTGTCAATTTCAGGATGAGTATTGGTGCGTCTCTCTGGAAGTACTTTTATTGGGAACATATCGCAATTCCTCTCAAAACAGGAGAATGCAGATACCAAGGCTGCGGCTTATGTTACAGAAGTGATTTTTATGAATGTTGCATGAAAAATATTGACTGGTGAAACACAATTCGACCAAAAAAGTGCAATTTTGTTGCGTAAAGTTTTTAAAGTAGTGAAAAAATGTTAAACTTGCCTAAGCCCATTTAAACGGCCTTCTACACTGGTCTACCTTTATGCTTGTCGGTACGCAAGTTACCGAAACATCCAAGTGGGATGTGAGCCTCGGCGTGATTGACTAGGCCGTGTATTTGCATGCTGACAAAATTCTCGACAGTAAAATTGGCTATGAAACCAAGATTATTGACGGAAAGTTACCAATATGTAACAAACTCCGCTGACATTCATAATGTCGTGAAGCCGGTGGTCCACATTGGTTTCCAACTACCTTATAGCATGCGGTAACAATCAAGGTTTTTATTACCAATTCCTTTTTGAATATATCGGGCAATTAAAAAATTGGATCCGTCGGGCTAGTGAGAGATTGAAAGTTACGATCCGTGTGGTGCATATAAAGTTTCTTAAAGGTGTATGGAACCTCACTGCAAAACATCCCTTCACTAGCACTAGAAAACCAAAGGAGTCCAAGGGGACACTGGCTCCTAGTAAAAATTGAATAACTTGGTTTTCATAGCAATTTGTTGGAATTTCGTAACTTAGTCTGATGCTGCGTTTCACACCTTTCCCTAGAGTTTTTTGGAGTGGTGTTTCATTCCTAAATAACTTTTGCATGTCTGAAAAGATCTCATAATTGGCAATCGAATTTGGTCCGATTAGTTTGTGTGAAGCATTTCTTTCTGGCCTTACGATGCAAATATTCGTGCGGACATGTCGCCATTTGGTGGGGGTTTCTTTCCTTCATCTTTCCAGTGTGCGGCAGATTTCGCTCGCTTCGGTGAAGTAGCATATCATGGAAACTGGAGAATATTGGACAAGTCGGCAATTTTTATCGGAGTTCGCTGTTCCCTTATCATTTTTGCCGGTCTTCTAGTGAATTATTTTATCATCGTCGCTTCGTGCGACAAACCGCGGAACAATACCACAATCTGACTTAACTCAGCGAGACTGAAAAATTTGCAATCGAATTGTGGTAAAAGCAAGCAGTTCTAGTGAACCACTTAGTCACCTAGATTTCTGAATGCCACCATTTCGTCCTTTTATTCGATCATATCGTTAACGGTATAGTGTATAGAAATGCATGGGATAAATTGTATAGTGACACAAATCGGAAGATAGAAGACGTTGCCGAACGAGCTACTGCCCACACCCATTCATCTCAATAAATGTGCTTAAGAATGGTATTCTTGTTATTGCACCACTAAATCAATCAGAAAGCCATTTCAACAGTAAATTGACTGGGAAGCGGTACAGTAGATCAGGTGCGACACAAGTGGTCCACATTTTGCTATCAGTTTCAATCATCCACTGTCTATATCAAAATGACTAGCTAGATCATCAGTACATGGAGTTACAAAAGGTGAACCTATATGTTCACCATAATCCTCTCAGTTAGTTTGTTTTTAAGTAGTTAAATTTGGTTTACTGGAGGGGAATTTATGGAATGAGTGGTCGTCAACTACAAATAGCTCGCGTGGAGTAATTTATGTTGCGCTCTAACGTGAATTGATCCTCACAGTATTCAGAAGGTTTGCATGTGTGGAGTGTCTTGAATATTTGTGGAGCTACTAATAATTCAATATTGTCAATTTGCTACTGCATTTTTTCTGAGTATTTAAATCTGGTTTACTGGAGGGACATTTTTGGAATGAGTGGTCGTCAACTACAATTTGCTCGCATGGAATAATTAATGTTGCGCTCTAACGTGAATTGATCCTCACAGTATTCAGAAGGTTTGCATTTGTGAAGTGTCATGAATATTTGTGGAGCCACTAATAGTTCGAAATTTTCAGTTTGCTACTGCATTTTTTCTAAGTAGGTAAATTTGGTTTACTGGAGGGAAATTCATGGAATGAGTGGTCGTCAACTACAAATAGCTCGCATGGAGTAATTTATGTTGCGCTCTAACGTGAATTGATCCTCACAGTATTCAGAAGGTTTGCATGTGTGGAGTGTCATGAATATTTGTGGAGCCACCAATAATTCAAAATTGTCATTTTGCTACTGCACTGTTTCTAAGTAGGTAAATTTGGTTTACTGGAGGGGAATTTCTGAAATGAGTGGTCGCCAACCACAATTAGCTCGCATGGAGTAATTTATGTTGCGCTCTAACGTGAATTGTTCCTCACAGTATTCAGAAGGTTTGCATGTGTGAAGTGTCTTGAATATATGTGGAGCCACCAATAATTCAAAATTGATAATTTGCTACTGCTTTGTTTCTAAGTAGTTAAATTTGGTTTACTGGAGGGGAATTCATGGAATGAGTGGTCGTCAACCACAATTAGCTCGCATGGAGTAATTTATGTTGCGCTCTAACGTGAATTGATCCTCACAGTATTCAGAAGGTTTGCATGTGTGGAGTGTCATGAATATTTGTGGAGCTACTAATAATTCAAAATTGTCAATTTGCTACTGCATTTTTTCTGAGTATTTAAATCTGGTTAACTGGAGGGACATTTTTGGAATGAGTGGTCATCAACTACAAATAGTTCGCATGGAGTAATTTATGTTGCGCTCTAACGTGAATTGATCCTCACAGTATTCAGAAGGTTTGCATTTGTGAAGTGTCATGAATATTTGTGGAGCCACTAATAGTTCGAAATTGTCAGTTTGCTACTGCATTTTTTCTAAGTAGGTAAATTTGGTTTACTGGAGGGAAATTCATGGAATGAGTGGTCGTCAACTACAATTAGCTCGCATTGAATAATTTATGTTGCGCTCTAACGTGAATTGATCCTCACAGTGTTCAGAAGGTTTGCATGTGTGAAGTGTCATGAATATTTGTGAAGCCACTAATAATTCAAAATTGTCAGTTTGCTACTGCATTTTTTCTAAGTAGGTAAATTTGGTTTACTGGAGGGAAATTCATGGAATGAGTGGACGTCAACTACAAATAGCTCGCATGGAGTAATTTATGTTGCGCTCTAACGTGAATTGATCCTCACAGTATTCAGAAGGTTTGCACGTGTGAATTGTCTTGAATATTTGTGGAGCAACTAACAATTCAAAAGAGTCAATTTGCCACTGCATTTTTTCTAAGTAGTTAAATTTGGTTTACTGGAGGGAAATTCATGGAATGATTGGTCGTCAACTACAAATAGCTCGCATGGAGTAATTTATGTTGCGCTCTAACGTGAATTGATCCTCACAGTATTCAGAAGGTTTGCATGTGTGGAGTGTCATGAATGTTTGTGGAGCCACTAATAATTCAAAATTGTCAGTTTGCTACTGCACTGTTTCTAAGTAGTTAAATTTGGTTTACTGGAGGGATATTTTTGGAATGAGTGGTCGTCAACTACAATTTGCTCGCATGGAATAATTTATGTTGCGCTCTAACGTGAATTGATCCTCACAGTATTCAGAAGGTTTGCATGTGTGGAGTGTCATGAATATTTGTGGAGCTGCTAATAATTCAAAATTGTCAATTTGCTACTGCATTTTTTCTGAGTATTTAAATCTGGTTAACTGGAGGGACATTTTTGGAATGAGTGGTCGTCAACTACAATTTGCTCGCATGGAATAATTTATGTTGCGCTCTAACGTGAATTGATCCTCACAGTATTCAGAAGGTTTGCATTTGTGAAGTGTCATGAATATTGGTGGAGCTACTAATAGTTCGAAATTTTCTGTTTGCTACTGCATTGTTTCTATGTAGGTGAATTTGGTTTACTGGAGGGATATTTTT